ATTTGAAATAAATAATGTGCATAAAAAATGGCTATTATCTATACATATGAATTAGTAGTGGAAGGAATTAAGAAGAAAAATGATCTGATGACAAAAATAATCATAATTTGCGTAAATTGGTCGATAATGAACGGATTGTGCTATGCGTGGATTCCGAGGCTAGGCATCGGCAGCAACACGTACCGTTGCAGACGAAACTGGTCTGTAGGTGATTTCACTCAGCTTCCAAGGATTATAAATTGACTTACCGGGACTTTCTCCCAAGAGATCATTCGCCCGTATACGACAGCTGTTTGAAAATCAGTGCCATTAACGCTCTTACGATTGTGTATCTACGTACACAGCAAACATTTCCTTATTGTGAAAACGTCTTTAAAAAAGCAGACAGTCTGCTTGCTCCGATGGTTTTACACGTTCATCTATTATAATTGACGAAAAACAATGCACGTAACAAAAAATCATAGCAAACGGTTAACGCAGGAAGCACCATTATACTTGTTCAAAAGTTTTTGGTCTAGCAATTTCCTATGGTTTTTTCCTGTTTCGGAATGTACGCATTGCTTCCGGTGAAAGAAGAGTATTCGTATAGCATATACTGTGTCTCAGAATTACAGATAAATTGCACTCACCTGACAATTTAATGTCTGGACGAAAATTATAGGTTTGCAGTTAACGTTCACGCGGAAGCGTGAAAAGCACTGTACTTTTCAGAAGTATCCGAATTTCTTTCTCTTCCGATAAAAGGAAAAGACAGTCACTGGTTTTCATTCTTCGACACTTTGATTAAACTGAATATCACAACAAAAAGTGTGTTACAAACAAGTTACAATCGCCATAAAGTATTAGCACGCGCACATACTTTCTAATAATTTTCTTCTCGACTAGACTTTACATTTTACTCCCACAATCCCAAGTTTCAGAGGTCATGAACAATATATTGAAATAAAATATTTGTGTAGAACGAATTTAACCCTTTTAGTACCGAACGACGATATATCGTCGTTCAAATTTTCAATAAACAGTTATTTGTTAAGTAATAAGATTTTTAGATTTAACATATTATATTGTGTCAAGAAAGAGCGAAAGTGGCATCAGATTATCCAATAATAAAAGCGAATCGAAACTTTCTTGTTTAGCGCACGTTCCCCCACGCAGGGCACTCGATCCAACTCTGTTTATCGTATAGTTAATGAGCAGGTACATACGTACACCGTTCGAGCTGCACACGTTATCCGGTCGTTCACTTAAAATATGAAAACCTCGTATTTAACTTTCACGTTATACCAACTGTACATATGTACATTGCTGATCATGAATATACGATTGCCTCCATAATTATAACAAAAATATGCAGTTATTAATCCATATTAATAAATTTTTATATACATACTGAAGGTTATATTTATATTCTTGATAATTTCATTAAAAGATATTTTTTATGAATTTTTATTTCGTAGAACTAGGGGTAAACGAATTCAGTCTCACATGTAAATACATCAAAATTCTTTCCATATTTCGTAAATCAGGTTCTGGTGATAATAATATTATAATGTAAAATTGAGCCGAAAAGTATGAAAGAGAAAAAGCGTGTTCTAAAATCATAAAGTTAAAAAAATTATAAAATTACAATTAGTTCGGAAGGCATTGTTAAATAAGTATCCATGCACTTATGAAAAGGATTGTACATATCTCTTAATCACTGACTGCAAGAAAACACGTTTCATTCGATCTCCCAATCGGTTCGATTTCGATCGCGGTTCGACGCTCGGACGCGGGAATGACTACTTTCATTCGCGGTCTGACTGCACCGTGAACTTGTACTTGTACGTAGTAAGTGCAAGTGCACGTTCACCGGTAAGATTGCAGCGTTCAGCTTTCATCCCGTGTCCTTTAACGCGCAGAAATGTCAAACGCACACAGGCGTCTGACCATTATGAACTCTCGGCAGCCAGACAGATAGATCCATCAATTAGTATAAGTCTCACGAATATAGTGATCGGCAATTTCCCTTTCCTGATTAGTGATTACTCAGCAATTTATAGTATGGATGTTTTTGACTCTATTGATTTTATTTGTACGTGCAGTCACCAAAAGTATTGTTAGATAAAGACTGGTAGAATAAGTTAGTGACAGATTATAAGAATCAATAAACCATACAGAATGAATTAAATTAAAGGCTCATTAACAGACTGATCGTTTTGCGCAAGTTACTATCAAATTAATAAACCAATGAAAAATAGAACATTTAATTTTATTAAAGGAAACTTTTGTAACTTCAATTTTAATTTCTCATTTTCAAATTTATATATAAACTACTACGTACTATTTTGCAAAGGAAATCCACAATTCAGTAGTAACTTGGTTTAGAAAAATGATTCATGCAATTTTATAGATATTTCGATCGACTCAATTGTAGACCGACATCAGCGATATAGCACATTCCGGTGAGACTGTATTGCACACTGCAACGATAACAATAATTAGTTTTGCTGACGTTCGACATGAGCGATCGTTTACCTCGGAATTGGTGGCTGCAATATTTGCTCCTCTTTAAATTAACACGTGAATGTTTGTAAAACGATCGCTATAACAGGAAACGGATAGCGAAATGGGTATGATAAAGCCATTTTTGTCCTCGTATAAGTGCACACGTTTATGTTAGTTGTAGAAAAAAGTAATAAAATACGTAACATCTCGTTTAACTGCTTCGAATACTTGCCTGACTCTGAATGGAATAATTGAAAAACGAGCGGTGAAAAGAATAATAAAAACAGTAGTTTTTGTGATACTCTCCAAATTGTAAGTTTTTTTTAATGAACTCTTAATTAGCGAGGACATATGTTAAAACATTATAGTAATTTATTTGCTCGAATGTAATATTACAGTTACAACTGCTTCTTCAACGAAGGAAGAAGCGTATTTAGCTAAATAAGTTAAGTAATTGTAAGATTGAATTAGACATAATTACATATGTTAGATTCTTACAGAACTGATCCACAGTTTGTATTTTCTGTATGACATAGATTTATAATAATAAATTATAATACCTACTTAATAAAACTTAAAAACCTTTCAATTTATGTTTTAACTCGCAGAATTAACTTTGTATATACATTTGCAAACACATTGACATAATATATGTGTTTATAATAGAATAATAATAATTACCAAATTATAAGAACATGTCTCCAACTGAGCAATAAAAGTTTAAAGTAGTTATGAAATTGGCAAAAAATGTGTGTAACAGGACATTTATGGATATAAGCTGCAAATTAGTCAGATAACTGTTCATAGTGAAAGATAAGTTCTACGTAAGACCTTATTTCACTATCGTAGACCGTATTCTAGACTATGCGCGTTAGACACTTTTATTTAGCTTATTTTAACTGAGTACAGATGGATCGTTTCAGCGAAATTTTTATTACTTCATTAATTTAAAAAGTCGTTTATTGCAATCTTGTTTCAGGCAATGGCGGGCGTAATCAACTCCACAGCAACTATGTTCAATGACGTCTACGATTATTATCTCTGGACACTATCCCTTGCCGGTAGAGTACCATTTTTTATCTATGAAAATAGGAAACCCCATTTTTGTATGCAATCCATAATGTAATACGATGATTCGACATAAAATCAAATTAATTCGTAATTTATATTATCGATATCAGATTTAAGTGGAGAACATCATCATGTAATGTTTGTATTTAGATGAACGAACGAGAGGATGGCTTTTGGTCGACTCGCCGAAACCTACTTTGATATACACGATATTGTATCTGCTCATCGTATGGGCCGGGCCAAAGATCATGAGAAATCGAAAAGCTTTTAAGTTAACGTGGGCCCTCGTCCCGTACAATCTCGCGATGGCCTGTTTAAACGCGTATATCGCAATTCAGGTATACATTTACTCGTGAAAATCAATTATCAACTCATCAAATGTTGGAGATTAGTTAATCTTAATCTCTTTTTATTATATTTGCAGTTGTTCGTAGCTTCCACCAGGTTACGGTACAGCTACGTCTGCCAGCCGATTAGGCACGTAACTCGTCCGGATGAATTGCAGGTACTTTGAGAATATTAAATAAAATGTAGTAATTAAAATTTACTAAATAGAATATTAAATAGAATCTGTTAAATTGATGCCTGTAGGTGACCAAACGTAATACGTATAGTATTTTTCTACTGTGTATTGTAAATTTTGTTTTTTCTGTTCCATTGCAATAACTGTATGCATACACAATACATTGAGCGTATATTACACATATTTTCGCTATAATAATATGACATTTGTTTCTTTTTTTAGATTGCTCACGCTGTCTGGTGGTACTACTTTAGCAAACTGCTAGAGTTCTGTGATACATTCTTCTTCATCCTACGAAAGAAGGATAATCAATTAAGCTTCCTCCACGTTTACCACCACTCGACCATGTTCTCGTTGTGGTGGATCGGCATCAAATGGGTCCCGAGCGGATCTAGTGAGTATCCATTCTTCTCAAACTCTCTCTTTAAGTACACATAAAAAGATATACATATGTGCCTAATGTGAACCAAGAAACGGTTCGGAGAAACGGTCTTAAAACTGTTGAGTCATATTTTTAAATAATTTTTTTATATTGTAGTCTTGTAAGTTTGCCAAATATAATTCGCCCAAATTTTCGATCACTGATTATTATCTTGAAGTTTTAATTTGTGGAAGACAATTTGTTTTATTGATAACTGTTTTCTCTTTTCAGCTTTCCTGCCAGCAATGGTTAACAGTTTCATCCACGTACTGATGTATTCGTACTACGGATTGGCAGCATTGGGACCAACCGTGGCTAAATACCTTTGGTGGAAGAAATACTTGACGATCCTCCAACTGATACAGTTCACCACTGCCTTGATCCTAGGGATCAATGGAATCCGATCAGGATGCGACTTCCCCCTCTGGATGCAGTACGCTCTCGTCATTTACATGATCTCTTTCATCGTTCTCTTCGGAAACTTCTACGCTAAAGCGTACATTGCAAAGGTAATCATATCGTTTATAAAAATTGTACATTTTACATAAAAAAAATCTTGCATTCTTTTTTTAAAGATAATACAATTTAACTAATTGGAAAACATTCAAGTACATCATTTATTCGCAGATAAAATACTAAGCTAGTTTTTGTACACGAGACTTGTTAATAATAAGCAATTAGTAAATTGAATTAAATACAACATAAATAGAAGCAATTACTAAATCGTATTCGTCAATTAAATAATTAAATTGTTTTCTTAGGGTAAACAAGCGTATGCGAAGAGGCAACTGGAAAAAATGAAGGCCAAGATACAATCGAAAACGGAAGTCTCGGAGGGAGTAGCATGCAACGGAAATGCACTGAAGAACGGACACGCCAATGGATACGCGAACGGTGTGTCCAAGAAGGTTCAATGAGGACGATAAGCTGTTCATTAAAGTGTCGGTTAAGAAACGAAAGCGAGCAGAAACATTTTCAGAAAAATCCCGTTCGATAACCCGGAAAACCATTCGACCAAATAGTTTTTTAGGTTCTTCCATTTATCGTTCGCTTCGTTCGTGATACTTAGGCCATGCACAATACATTATACCAGCAGTCCTTAATCTTAGGCCATCAATTCAAATGAAAACAATTGATTATTTAAATCATTGCTTAAAAAAATTGCATACTATTTATTATACAAGTCAATGATGTAAGACAAATTTTGTATTCAAATTTCTATAAAAAATTGCTCCTCAGTAGATTTAAGTAAATAAGTAAATTAGGAAATAGGCAACAGATTCCTTAATTGAGGACTGCTGCCACTACGAGAAGGAATGGATTTACTCGTCAATGGACAGATCTTCCTTTGAGGCGAACGCGACTATGAATTACCGGCCTGCGATTTCTTCTTTTTCTATTCTCAGGACTAGCCGTAACGTAAACGCTGGTCCCTAGAGGTGTTGTAAATATAAAAAGGAATTAGTCGAGTATCATTAGCAGTTTAGTCGTCAGTAGTGACTGCGAGTTATTGATTAACGTGATCCAGCGTGATCGAAGTACGATAACGTTTCGTAAGCTCAAACTTAAATGATCTTTTTTGTGACCGACGATATGAAAATCTGCCTTATACATATACAATATTATATATATATATATATATATTTACAAGGAGAAGAAAAGAAATGGATCGTCGCGTATTGGTAACTGCCTATAGTTCTTCCTCGCGATAGATCTTTAAAATAAGAATTTAAGTCCGATGATCACGTTGTGGTTGTATCTACGTACAACAATATTTGTGCACTCGACGTCTAATAGTTGATAATGTATCGTGATGTTCAGGTATGCTGCAAACAATATCTCTCCGAATAAATGGGAAATACTACTATTTGTTCTAAACGCGATGGTCGTGAACCATAATCGTAAACGGTGTAAAGAAAAGAAAGTTTAGACGCCTAATGCTGTTCTTTGTATAAATAATTTTATTTAATTGAACTTCGAATGATATAATATTTACTTAGGGTAATAAAGGAATAATTGTTAGTCATATTTAAAAAATTGATTGTGTTTAGAACGCGAGCTAGCGTTATTCTTCCGTTTTTAACTTTCGTATTCTTTAAAACGAAAACTGATTCACTACGTCAATTGGTAAGATATATACGAATAAGTTAGGTAAACATTTGTACGAGACATTTTTCTACGATTGCTATTCTACATATACATATTAAATACACACGCGTTACGTACATACAGCGCGCTTATTGCGTGCGAAAATTCTCACGTGTTCCAACCGGTATGTACCAAAAACGAAATGAATAAGACTATTTTATATGACAACCCTGTTTCGGAAACTTCGATACAATTGCACAAACAAAAACACGCAAAAATTTGTATCAATCCGATTTCGAGTTTAATATACATACATGTACATGATGCATACAGAACAAGATTTGTAAAACTCCATTACGCAGTATCGTTTACGAGCGTCTGTCCTTTTTTCTTTTTGATGAATTTATCTCTAAACCTATTAGGCAATAAAACGTTGTTAATCGTTTTACTACTATCGCAATATGTAAAAACCATTGAGAAATTGTTATAAAAAGAGCATTGCTGCGCAATGTGAAAAATCAACAAAGTGCATTGTATTTATTTCGAACAACATTTATTCGTCACCTGTCCAACAAAAGCATATGTTCAAAAGCAAGTAACAAAACTGTGTATCAAAGCAATGAGAGAGGAGTCATAAAAAATTGTATTACACTGTTGTACATTATCACTGCGATATGTGTATGTATTAAAATCAAATATAATTGTCATAAACATTAGATAAATATTAGATTCCAGTCAATGAGTTGCTTGAAACGACTTTAATCCCGGCTTCTGAGAATTACGACGGCCAACCAAAACGACGAGATTTTGCCAACATAAGGTTGTACATGGCACACGACAGCAAATTCGACAGGACCGTTGATATCGTAAATTCTTGTTGCCCGCAGATGCTCGACAAAATCATCAACAGTAGACTCGCGTTTGTTTAAGATGAAACCATGGATGTGATACGCCCTGTACAATTGTTTCAAGTCCCTCTTGTCCAGTTGCACCTCCGGAGGTGGTTCCGCCTTGGAAATAAAGTTTTTTAATATAGTCATCGCGTGCCGATTGAAAATGGTTGTAAACCCGAGCGCACTGCGCCACTCGGACAGCTTTTCTTTCAACGATTGTTCTATGTTGGCTGTGCTCTTCTTAATCTGTTTGCTTTCCTCCTCAGTAGCATTCAACTCGATTATCTGAATGGCATGCTCGGTCTTTGTTGAAACGGCGGCATCAACCGACCGCCATTCTTTGCTCAATTTCACATTGTATTTAAGATTGCAGGGCAAGACAGATTTTTGTAAATTCTCCCATATCTATAAATGTAATAGAAGATCACGGATATCCATGTTACTTTAAACGAAACAGTAGAAAAATTTCATATACTGACACCGAGGTTACTAATCAAACGGGACACTTTAATTAAAGGGCAATGACTGTCGTCCAGTTTGTAATAATTTCCGATCTCCGGATCCCACAAAGTGTATATCCCATTTTCACTTATACTCAATACAAACGATGACCATTTATTTATCTGCGAAGATCCTGTCACATTTATTCAACAAGTTTTTAAATAACATTTATTTATCTGCGAAGATCCTGTCACATTTATTCAACAAGTTTTTAAATAACCGATTATTCTGTCGTTTTATTATAGAATGCTTTTTTATAATGTCGTTTTATTATAAAATGAATTTTGTATAACATTCGTTTCATTATTATTGACTTATTTAAATTAATGGATTGTTGCATTTTAAATCGCAATTCATTTGTATAAACTTTTTTAATAGAATCAATAATTAATTTATCTTATAAAAAAATAATGTATAAATTGTTCCTTACCTAATAAGACATAAGTTTTCAAATCGAACCCTTGCAATAATACTGCCAGGAGAGCCGCCCTTCCATAATGATCCGTTTTCCTTATATTCAAAGCCTGCCGAGGAGTGATCGGTCCGTAATGATTAGGCAAAGACGGTAAAAGCATTACCAGTCTCGCTGCATCCTTCGGATTTTCCACGCCATTGACTTTGTATGACGTAACGAGACACCTTTGAATGCTTTTCAGCAACGTGTTTGTCACAATACTTTCGACAGACTTGGAAGTAGCCGGATGTTCCATACGAATCAGAACGTAAATTCGAGTGTACGATTGACCAGGACTAGCCTGAATATATCCAAATAGCAAAACCGGACTGAACAAGGGAGATAACGTAATCCAACGTTCAAGTTCTTGATAATTTCTGTGCTGTTCAAGAGGTATCCTAGTCTCGCCTAGCCACTGTTGACCCCAGAAAGGGTGTTGGTCATACAGTCGTAATTTTATACAATGCTCCTCGTTCTGCCTCGGTAGCTCAAAGTGCATCGTTTGCTGCCATATAGGCGCGGGTCCTTCTGCTACAGATGTTCTGTGAATGGTATTACCCCATTCTACTTCGACAAACGGTTGAACCAACGCTGACTCCTCCCTAATTGGTATTTCTATGCCCCTCAAGACAGTTACGCTCAAAACTGTTTTGCCTATCGTGTGATATCTACGAGTAGTGCTCGCCGGTTCCAAAGGATGTTTGACTTGTAACAAATCCCTAAACGATACATCGAGCAGAGAGAATGCAGACTGTTCGGTTACAACCGTGTCCGGCAACGTCTTCGCGTCTTCCGTTTCTGTTTTCTTAGGAACAGATAATTCCGCATCCGTACAGAAACTTAATACTGGGTGCTCGAGCAGAAAATATTTCACTTGCTTCCTGTGGATATCACTCTTCGGCGGTCTTATCAAAGATAAACCGTTGTGCGGATCGTTTGGATCGTTGCTCAGTTTGTAAAGTTGCGCGGTATATTCCTGTTCGGTCTCGCCGTAATTACTCAAACTAATTGTGCATACCACCGTCCCCGCGTGTATCCTACCCAACGTGTCACTTATCGCGAAGTCTATCTCGATCTTCGTGTTCTCCGTGTTACGCTTCGGCAGTGGTAACGGCAACACGCTCGACTGACCGTGCTTCGCGTGTACTTGTATCGAAAGATTATTGCATTCCGACTTTCTTATTAACAGTTTATGCAATTTCCTATTAAAAGGGCTCTTCGCTTTGCATATTATCTTTTTCTTAAATAACAAGTGGACGGATGTTATCGTGATCGATTCCGGGCGGTCTTTCGGTGAGTTCATTTTCACATCACGAATTACAATCTCTAACAGTTTACCGGAGAATTTGCGCTTCGACTCGTATTCTATCACTTTCATATTATCAGACTGAGACGTTTTAACGTCGCTATAAACGAACGGATTATCGGAAGCGTACAATCCATCTTCGACTAACAAATCTTGACTCAATTCTCGCGGGTTTTTATTTTTGTTAATAAGACTACTATTTGACTCTTCTTTTATAGTAGGATATGCATAACAAAGACTTAGATCTTGTTCTGTCTGATCATCGATACGACGAGTATATCCCTTAATAAAATCGATGTCCTCGTCAGACATATTAAACTAAAAGAGTCATAATAAAACACATTTATCACAAAAATATGAATGGAAGAGTGAATGCCTACGTTTATTATTGCACCCCTTTGTATTCATGAAATGTTTTCGTGTAGCACCGATGAGAGATTACTAAAGAGCGTAAAGAGTGGCAGCCTTATGGGACTTCGTGTCCCTGTCTCACGATAAAGTCTACAATTTTTGACGCCGTCTAGCATGTATTGCCACCGAAATAAGAAACAGAAAACACCGAGAAGAGACTACTAAAGAGTGGCAGCCTTATGGGACCGCGCGGCTCAAAAAACTTTTGGCGCCCTCTAGGGTATACTGCATCATGATGTAAAAACATAAGGTGTGTTCTTCCGGCGTGTTCAAATGTGTCGCTGTTTGCGCCTTCCACTCATCGGCCATATTGGAAGTACGATGATCTATTGTTTATTTCAAACACGCATATATATTACTCTCCGAGAACCTAATTTTTGACATGTTTACGATTTTAAAATTCGCACTGTTTTAATATGAAGTGTGATTGGTTAGAAATCCAAAATGGCCAACGAGTGGAAGTGTCCGTGTACAGATGGATGTTCAAATGGATGCGCAAGAACACACCTTATGTTTTTACATCATGTACTGCATCATGTACTGAACCGAAAAATAAGACACAAGCAAAACTGTCGTCGGTTTAGTCCAAACAACGATATTTGGGGTAAAATGCAGTAAAATGCAGATGTAAAAGTAATGAGTTTACTGCTAACGACTTTTTTAACCAACGATCAGATGCTGAGACGTTTATCACCTATCGTGCTGGAAAAAAGCATTCGTGAGTCTGATCATAAACGAAGTATACATTTTTACTCATACGTTATACGTTTTTACTCGTGTGTTAGAAACTATGTGCTTGTCGAGTGAAGACGTGAAAAGTATTTTTGTAATACGTAGTGCGCATGGTTGGCAAACTAGAGGGAATTTGAACTATTTACGATTCTAAATATCACGCAGTGTATGTACAGTATTATTATTTTATTGAAGCCTTATCTTCATATGTATTACAAAAAGTACATGTATAAAAATATAGAATTATACTTGGCAGTTACATTCTTAAATAAAAACCATAGCTTAAGTACTACATATATACTGAAAATAGTATTTTCTAAGATCCACAGGCCATACATGCGTCTCCATTTTCACGGGAGCACACGAGTACAGGATCTTCCTCATCTACGTTATCTTGATTTTGTAACCAATCACCACTTTTTGCAGTAGAATTTAGTGTTTCATTTTCATTTTCCAAAATCAGTGACTGATTAGTACTATTCATGCTTGTATTTCTTGCTTGTAATTTGGTTTTGTCAACTGTGAATTGCAAAGCATTTGCTGCCGGCTTGGTCCTCAAATAGTACATGCCAGTTTTCAAACCCTGCAAATAATTAAGTATTTTCAGAGTAAAAATTGTCAAATTAAATTTGTTTGTCATGTGAATTAAATCATTTACCATATTCCATCCATAAAAATGCATTGAAGTCAATTTCTCTGTTGTTGGCTTAGCCATGTGAACATTTAATGATTGTGACTGATCTATAAAGGCACCGCGATCTGCCGCCATTTTTAGGATTATTTTTTGCGGTATTTCCCATACTGTTTTATAAAGCACTTTTAAATTATCCGGTATACGTCCAATGTTCTACAATGGAAAAGTAACATAATTTGTCTCATATTATACAGAAAAACTTTTCCAGAAATCAATGAGGTCTACTAACTTGTACAGAACCATTATTCGCTATTATTTCATTTTTCATATCTTCGTCCCAAAGATCCCTTTCAGTTAGATCCCGCAATAAATGAGGATTAACGACTTGAAACTCTCCTGACAAGACTCTTCTTGTATAAATATTGTTGGTATATGGTTCTATAGATTCATTATTTCCTAGGATCTGTGCTGTAGACGCTGTTGGCATAGGCGCAATTAGCAAAGAATTCCTAACTCCGTGTTTAGCGATCTTTTCTTTCAATGCTGCCCAATCCCATAAATCCGTAGGCGTAACATTCCACATATCGTATTGCAAAATCTGAAAGAACATTAATATTTAATATCTTGTTATCTACAAAAATTGGGTTAAGTATAAT